ACATTATTACCAAAGCCATAGCAATGAACTGAGCTCTTCCACTGCTAGAAGAATGATCCTTACTCTTGTGTCAAAGAGTACTGATTTTTTTTTTTTCAGAGACTAAGCTTAACCTTTTAGCCTGATACAAGTACAGTAACATAAATTAGGGAACTAGTGCTAATGATGAAAAAGAATTCTTCCTGATCCGTACATGCTCGGAAATAAGTTTGCATAAAGAGCCACCTGCCCAAAGCATAAAGAAAAATTTGGGGTTAAGCAAGTCGGCTCGGCAGGTAAAGATGTTTGCTGCCCAGCCTAGCAAGTTCAATCAGAACACACATGGTAAAAGAAGGGATTAGATTTCTGGGAAATTGTCCTCTGACCTTCACAGGTGTAAAGTGGCACCTGTGTGAATATAATACACGCACAACACAATAAATAGGCACGTGCAAAATAAAAAAAAAAAGATCCAGCTCTCTAGCAATTTGTTTTTGAAGGTGGCCACAGGATACCTAGACTATTTGCATCTATCCATAAGTCTTTGGAGGCCAGCACAAGAAGTTAATGAGGAAAATTAACACAGGTGTTGATTCCCCGCTCCTGTCTGCACTTGGCCCAATGTGAAAAACATTTAGTGTTCATTAATTACTGAGTTTCAGAAATTATGGATTTTCGAAAGTAAATGATTTCATTTAAATTCAATTATTCATAAAGAGATGGGACTTTCATCCCACCAAGGACACCGATTGATTTCCCAGTGTCCTGCATAGAAACATCAAAGACACAGAGTAAGAGTAATTTAACATTTCAGAAATGGTCTCATCAAAGCTCTTCATACACAAAAGAATTCATGTTTAATCTAATGGAATCCGTTCTTTTTCAAGCTGTTTCCACAGGCTTCCAAAGACTTGGGATTTCGATTGACAGTGTTGTTCTTTTTTCTGAAATCAGAAAGTGAAAGTTGTTTTCTAGAAAAGTGGTTACTTTTTATTTGAGACTGATTTTTACAGTCACCTGTAGGACATTCTTAACCAACAGCAGTGAAATGCTTGGTGTATCCCAGATCCCCTTAGCACAGGTTGCTTAGTCCTTAGTGAAAATGGCTCAGGCCTCACAAGGCTTCTTTGTTATTTCTGTCACCATCTGTCTAGCAGAAGATTCTTATCCCTTTGGTTTCCAACAGACCTTCACCAATGGGGCCTGGGGATGGAGAAAGACTTTCTGAGAATTCTTCGGAATTCCTGAATTCATCTGTTATTCTATGTTTTTTGTAATACCTGTTTTTGAAAAGTAATAAATGATCAAAATAATAGAAAAGAAATCAGCTTTCCTGTAAGAGTGATATATATATATATATATATGCATATATATTATGTATGTCTTGGTGTTTTTTGTTGTTATTGTCATCGTTTTGTTTAAAAAGATAAAACAAATGTATAACTCATTGTATTATTATCATATCCAGTACTTCAAGTACATCAGTACAAGGTTTATAAAATTCAATCACTGGAAAAAGATATCTATGTGATCCACATATACGACCACAGAAAGCATGAAAGAAATGAAACATTTGTGCAAAATAAGTGTTGAATGAACATTAAAGCATGTCAGGGGCCTAGGGAGATTGTTCAGTGGCTAAAACGCCAGCTGCTCTTTCAGGGGACCTGGGTTCGAGTCCCAGCACCCACATGGCAGCTCACAACCATCTGTAACTACAGTCCCAGGGATTGAGTGCCTTTTGGTGTCTGCTGGCATCAGGCACACAAGTAGTATACAGACACACATGGAGGCAAACCACCCACACGTTTAAAAAAGTTTTAAATATATTTTTTTTTGAGTCAGGCTTTCTTTGTGTAGTCCTGGCTCCCCTGGAACTAGTTCTGTAGAACAGGCTTGTCTTGAACTCAGAGATCCACCTGCCTCTACCTCTCCAGTGCTGGGATTAAAGGTGCGTGCCACTGCGGCCTGGCTTCTGTGTACTTCCTGATGTTGACTTTGTTTTTAGAAGGCAGTCACTCTTAGTAGCCAAAAGGGTCATGGACATACAACGACAGCTGTCACCAAAGAGTGAACCGCTGCCTCTTGATCCGCCTGCCTCTGTCTGGGATTACAAGCATGCAGAGCCACACTTACATTCTGTGTTTAACCTGGCAGCTTTACATGCTGCCTTTCCTATAATCCGACAAGTTCCTAACTGGAATAGAGATAAGACTAACATTTTAATGGTTCAAAAAAGAAAAAAAAAAAAGGAAAAGAAAAAGAAATCAGAATGATGTAATTGGAAGGGATCCAGAGATGTAAAGTGTCCCACAGAATATGCTTTGATCTGTTCATTGGTGTTTTGGAGAAGGACCCAATGGTTAAGCAAAGATTGGAAATGCCAGACTGAAATTAAAGCAGATTCTTTTTTCTTTCTATTTTTTAAAATTTTCTTAATTACAGTTTATTCACTTTGTATCCCAGCTGTAGCCCTTCCCCCACCCCCTCCCAATCCCATCCTCTCTCCCTCTTCTTCTCCTATGCCCCTCCCCCAGTCCAATGATAGGGGAGGTCCTCCTCCCCTTCCATCTGACCCTAGCCTATCAGGTCTCATCAGGACTGGCTTCATTGTCTTCCTCTGTGGACTCCCCTCAGGTGGAGGTGATCAAAGAGCCAGCCCATGAGTTCATGTCAGAGAGGGTCCCTGTTCCTATTACTGGAAAACCCTCTTGGACACTGAGCTGCCATGGGCTACTTCTGTGCAGGGGTTCTAGGTTATCTCCATGCATGGTCCTTGGTTGGAGTATCAGTCTCAGAAAAGACCCCTGTGCCCAGATTTTTTTGGTTCTGTTGCTCTCCTTTGTGGAACTCCTGTCCCCTCCAGGTCTTTCTATCTCCCCCTTCTTTCATAAGATTCCCTGCACTCTGCTGGAAGTTTGGCTTCTTTACTGCAGAGGCTCTAATGCCTTCAGTGCACTCACATGCTGTGGACCTATGAGAAGGGATGGGGATGAAGGCTTTCAACACTGTGTTACCCCAGGTTCTCACTGGGGCAATGCAGAGCTTACTGAGTTAGTGTATGCTCTGTGTAAAGATGGTGTTTGGCGCTGTCTTGACAGCAAGGAGATACTGAGGAAGCAAGGTGACACCAGGTGCTCCTGTTTCACACCAAGACTTCTGGGTGGTGCTAATCTCTTGGGACTCAGGGAAGGCTGAGAGGCAGCTCTAGGCCAGAGATCCTCCCATTCCTGTGACTCACCTTGCAGAGAAGCTCTGAGCTCAGCATAGGAGCAACCATGCCCGGAGACTAGGATCAGGTTTTATCTCTGCCTACCTAGGATAGGACATTGGAGGATGTGTCACCAGCTGTGGTCACAAAACTAACCTGGCTCCCTTTTCCTCCCATGTGGTGCAGTGGTTCTTAGAAAACACATTAGTTCCATGTTGCTGAGGCTGTCTGTGCCTTGACCTCTGTCTCTCCACCCACTCTAGAACAGGCTCCTTTCCTCACTGCTTAGGAAGTGGAGAGGAGGCCTTTGCAGGTTTCAGTTGATGGCTCCATTGGTTCCTCCATCATAGTTCAGTGATACTAATGAAGAGAATAGACAATAGGAAAATTTGGGCTGTCTGCAAGCCCCCCCCCCCCCCGGCAGTTCTCCTGACTTCACAAAAGGTTCTTTTTCCCTCATCCAAAAGATGGGCCAGTGTAAATGTCATTCCTTTTCTTTTTGATTATCTCTGAAGGGGAGGGGAGTGGGGTAGATAGAAAGCCTGTAGCTTGTGTGAGAATTACTACTTAGTTATGCCACTATAGCCAAATGGTATATAGCCCTGCAACAAAGTCAGCTGTTCTCCCAGAAAGGAGATAATATTTTGGAGAGGAGAGCCAAAGCTGAGGCTGGTCTCCACCTCCCATGTTCTGGAATTACGGCTCTACTGGGAAGCTTCGAAGCTTCGTCTTTTTCTCCTTTGGATTCCCTTTCCTGGTTTTGGATTTGAGGTGGATTTTATGCAAAGAAGGTAGAAAATCTCTAGTTCCTGCAGAACGAAATGATTCTGGCAAAAGGGCCCAGCACGGTAGGAGGCAGCTCATTTTTGCTTCAGCTGGCTTTGTTCACTCATTCCTGGGAGACGGTAAATGGTGTTTTATCCAGAGACGAGCTCAGTAGGGTGGACAGATGCAGCGTGAAGGCAGCTGTCCTCTAAGCAGATGTATAAGAGGGACAAGCAGGACTAGAATAAGAAAATACATGTCTGTTGTAATTACAACAACAATGAAGAACAAAACAAGACCCAAACTCCTCATCCCGAAATATGCTATGAAAGTGGATCCTGGGGTAGGTCCTGGGGACTGAAGGGGCCGACAGGGTGTGATTCCCCGCAACAAGTGTTCCTGCAGAGTGTGTGTGTGCGCGCGCGCGGACACACACACACACACACACACACACACACACACACACACACACGGTGCCCAGCCTCCAGTTTCACCTCTGGCAGAGCCAGAGCCTAACAATTCTCAGCTCTCCTTTCCAGGGTTATTTTTGGCTAGGGCTGTTCTCTGATGGCAAAGGGTTCCAGCCCCCTCCCACCTCCCTCTCTGTCCTTACTAGGGAGAGAAACTTGTGCTCAGGCTAAGCTGACTCTCAGGGTGCGGGGAGAGGGCTGTGGGCTAGGCCTTGGGCTAGCTCAGGCTAGGCTATCTTCTAGCAGAGAGTGTGCCTCGGAGCAGCTGGAAGCGCTGGAACCGAAGGTGTGGCCGGGGGGGGGGGGGGGGGGACGCTGTAGCTGGCCCCGGAGCCCGGCTTTGGGACACTTGGAAAGTCAGGCCAGCTGAGGAAAGAAATTGAGGACAGCTGGGTGATCCTCTGTAAAGGCGCTGGGCCCCCGCAGACAACTTTATCTGAAGGTGGAGGCAGACTCCATTCCGGGACATTGAGGGGACAGGCTGAGAGCGGCGGCGGGAGGGTGGGGAGGGGCGGGGAGGGCGCGAGGCGGAGCCGGGAGCGAGGCCAGACCGCGGGGGCCCGGGAGGACGGCAGATCCCCGAGGCTCCCGCAGCCGCGGCAGGACCGGCCGGCGGCGCGATGGAGGGGAGCCCCATCCCGGTGCTGACGGTGCCCACGGCGCCCTACGAGGACCAGCGGCCGGCCGGGGGAGGCGGGCTGCGGCGGCCCACCGGGCTCTTCGAGGGCCAGCGCAACTATCTGCCCAACTTCATCCAGAGCGTGCTGTCGTCCATCGACCTGCGCGACCGCCAGGGCTGCACCATGGTGGTGGGCAGCGACGGCAGGTACTTCAGCAGGACGGCCACCGAGATCGTGGTGCAAATGGCTGCGGCCAACGGGGTGAGTGACGGTCACGCCCGGTTGGCGGGTTCCCACGCCCGGACCACCTCCTCTGTGCTCTCCCCGGCTTCCCAAACCGGCACACTGGCAGACGCTAGGTGTACCGAGGCCCTGGCCTCGAAGGGGCTGCTCTGCTCAAAGAAGGGTCTGGAACCTTCTCCCGCACCTGTTCCACTTTCTTCTGCGTTTCCTTCCTCATCCGTTTTCCACTCCATCGCAGTGGTTCCCCATATTCTCCCAACCGTTCATCGTCCACCTCCCTACACAGACTTTTATCTTTTTGAGTCTGCCAACATGATCTCCCATCCTGGTTTTCTTTTATCATGCTATTCTTCTTCTTCTTCTTCTTCTTCTTCTTCTTCTTCTTCTTCTTCTT